TACACACATACAAATATATATACACATACATACATATATATACACATATATTTTCATATACACATACTCATATATACACAAACACACATACACATTCACACATATACACATATACACATACATAAATACTCATACACATATGTATATGAAAATATATGTGTATATATATGTATGTATGTGTATATATATTTGTATGTGTGTAATGTATGTGTATGAATGTATGTGTATATAGGTGTATGTGTATGTGAAAATATATATATGTACGTGTATATATAGTATATAATTTTTTTATATTTTTTTTTAAAATTTTTAAAACAGTTGCGACGGAATGCGACGGAAAAAATTCCGTCGCAATTTGCGACGGAATTATCCGTCACTTTCCGTCGCAAAACGCAGATTTCTTCCGTCGCAAAAATGCGACGGATTAACGACCGTTATACGTTTGCGACAGCGCTATAGCGACGAAAATAAGTCTGTCGCATTCCGTCGCAAATTCTTAATTGCGACGGATTTCCTTTGTATTTACGACGGATTTTTCCGTCGGTATATAACTGTTTTTTTGTAGTGAATCCCTCATGTGGTTATTCCGGCGGAATCCTTGGAAGCCGCTGTGGATGAATGGACGGAATTCGTTGTAGGTCAATTCTACGGCCTCCCGTCGACGATGGGTAGGATTATCGGGGTTTCAAACGCGATGTGGTCGCGTATAGGACCCCGGGTGAAAGTTCAAGATGCGGGGAACGGAACTTTTCTCTTCAAGATGCCGAACCGAAGATCCAGAGATTTGGCCTTAAGTCGGAAAATCTGGCATGTAGGGTCTGCACCTATGTTTATTTCTGCCTGGAGCCCATACCACACCACAACAAAGCCGACCCTCACTTCTATAGCAACTTGGGTCTCGTTTCGTAATCTTCCCCATCAGGCTTTCAGCACTGATAGTCTTAGTAGAATTGCCACCACAGTCGGCACTCCTATGTACCCTGACAGATTGACTAAGACGAAGGAATATGTCGAAGTGGCAAGGATATACATTGATGTCAACCTCAGAGTTACTCCGCCGAGGAATATCATGATTACCCTGCCGGATGGGCAAAATCATCTCATTGATATTGCATATGATTGGTTGCCGCCAAGATGTAGCAATTGTTCGGAAATAGGACACAGTCAGCTTCACTGTCCTCTATCGACGCCAATAATTCAACCGACAACTACAGAGGAAGCAAGCTCCAAGGGTATCAGTCAACCGTCGCCGAGTAATAAGGAGGCTGAATCAGTTCAGCCTAGCATCAAACCTCAGGAAATAGTAGGCTCTCCTGCTACAAGCTCTCCTCAGAATCAGGACCAGGTTACACCGGTTAACACTACAGTTCAGAATCAGGCTGCTTCACATCGAAAAGCGACAAAGAACCAGAAAAACCAGAGGAAAGAGAAAGCAGAACAAGGTATTATAGAAACTAAAAATCGTGGTCGAAAGGCCACGAGAGACAATTGACCACCACAAGGATTCCCATGATTTTTGCGTGGAACGTAAGGGGTATCAACGCCCAAAATAAATGTTTTTTGACACGCAAGTGGATACTAGAGAACAAGCTCATTATGGGAGCTCTTTTGGAAACTCATATACAAGAAACCAATACTCATCGGATAGCAAATGCGATACCTGTTGGATGGAAAAATTTCTGTTTTTTTGGAAATCGGTCAACAACAAGAATTTGGCTAGTTTGGGAGGATTCTGTCAAGGTTATCATCTATAGCGCCACAAAACAAGTTGTGACTTGTGGAGTAGAGCTTACCAGCCAAAACATAAAATTCACGGCGACCTTCGTGTATGCATCTAACTCACTCATTGAGAGGCGATTATTATGGGATGAGCTGAAACAGTTGGGTCATTATCATCCCTTAAAGGATTCCCCGTGGATAGTACTTGGGGATTTTAACCAATGCCTCACCCTAGAAGAACGATCAAATGGTTTTCAGCAACCTGGACAACAAAGCGGAATGAATGATTTGCAGGATTGCCTGCTCGAGGCTAAGATCTCTGATATGCCAGCCCGAGGGTCCTCGTTTACATGGTGCAACAATCACCTAGAAAATCCGCGTTCTGTGAAGCTGGACAGAGCATTAACCAACCAAGCTTGGAAACTGGTTTTTCCAAGTTCATATGCTGAATTTACAGCACCGGGGCATTCAGACCACACACCTTGTATCATCCACCTTCCGGATAATCACCGAGAGGTAAAAAAGCCTTTTAAATTCTTCCAACATTTAACTCTTATACCAGAGTTTTTTCAGATTGTGTCCAGGCATTGGATAGCAACCGACATCGAAGCGAGCCCACAATTCCAACTATGTAGATCCTTGAAGCTTCTAAAGAAACCACTCCGACACCTAAATCAGGACAGATTCTCACAACTGTCCAAAAGGGTAAAAGAAGCAGAAGTATTGTTGAAAAGAGTACAGACAAACATTTTCAATGCTCCCACCACAGATTTATTGGCTGAGGAAAAGATACAGCGCCAAAAATACATGTTGTTAGTAGCAGCCGAGGAAAGGTTTTATCGCCAAAGATCGAGAATTAGGTGGCTAAGATTGGGGGACAAGAACACAGCCTATTTCCACCACATTGTTGTGACAAGGGCTGCAAAGAACCACATTCATTTTCTAATCAATGCGCAGGGGAGCCGACTAAGTAAAGCGGAAGAAATAAAAGAACATGCGGTGCAGTTTTACTCTGACTTGATGGGCAGACGAGATAATGATATACGGTTGCCGACACTAGACTGGCTGCATGACTTGATACCTTATAGATGGACAAATGATCAAGGAACATTGTTGGATGCCATACCCACGGATGAAGACATAAAGAACGCCTTTTTCTCATTACCGGATAACAAAGCGCCGGGTCCGGATGGTTATCCGAAAGAGTTCTACACCAAAAGCTGGCAATTAGTGGGAGGAGATGTAACAAGGGCCATTAAAGATTTCTTTCTCACCGGAAAGCTTCTTGGCCAAATAAACGCCACGACATTAGCTCTGATCCCGAAGAAACAAGAGGCAACAAAGCTTACAGAGTTTCGACCGATAAGTTGTTGCAACACACTTTATAAGGTTATCTCATCTATTCTAGCAAGGAGAATCAGGGCAGTAGCAATGGAGATGGTATCCCGTAATCAAAATGCTTTCGTGAAAGGAAGATTAATGATAGAAAACATCTTGCTTGCATCGGAGATCATAAGGGAATATAACAGAGCATCGACAAGGAAAAGTGCTATGTTCAAGGTAGATATTCGGAAAGCTTTTGACTCATTGGATTGGACCATCATCATCAGGTTATTGCAAGCAATAAATCTGCCCCATAAATTCATTTCATGGATTTCAACCTGTATTACAACACCAAAGTTTTCAGTGGCTATAAACGGGGAGCTTACGGGTTATTTTAAGGGACGTAAAGGCTTACGACAAGGAGATCCATTGTCTCTCTACCTATTCATTATGATGATGGAAGTGCTCTCTCGGCTTCTGGATAGATCAGCAGTTGAAGGTACATTAAAGCCACATGACAAATGTGAAAACCCCTTGATTATTCACTTATCATTCGCCGATGACATCATGATCTTCTCTCATGGAGAGAGGAGCTCACTCCGGGAAATAAGAAGCATTATGAAGACCTTCTCGGAGATCTCGGGACTGCACATAAACCTCGAAAAATCTGAACTATATCTGGCTGGAATGACCGAGGGAGAGAAAAGAACTATATCCTCCAACCTTGGTATTGGTCTTGGGTGCTTGCCCGTGAGATATCTCGGTGTCCCTTTGAGCCCAACCAGACTCTCGAAATCAGATTTTCAGCCTCTGCTCCAGAGGATACGGGCAAAGCTTTCGGGATGGACAACCAAGTTCCTTTCAAAAGCAGGGAAAATTCAACTTGTGACTACAGTTATCTTTGGGATGGTAAACTCATGGGGTATGACGTTTGTACTCCCAAAGTTCCTTATTACGGAAATTGACAGCATGTGCTCCAGGTTCATATGGCAGAACTCTTCCGACAAAACACCTAGTCACCGCATTGCTTGGCACACTATATGCAAGCCGAGGAGGGAGGGCGGTTTGGGTGTCCGAAGATTGGACGAGCAAAACAATGTCTTCCGATTGAAACTAGTATGGTTGTTACTCAGTAAAGCGGGATCTTTGTGGGTGGCTTGGGTCAAGGCGTATGTGTTCAAAGGTGGTACATATTGGGAGTGTGGTATGAAAGCAAATGCGACATGGAACATGAGGAAGTTGTTGGGGCTGAAGGACCAAGTAAGACAATTCTCTAAGATGAATATTGGTAATGGTGAATCTTCTTCCTTTTGGTTTGACAGTTGGCTGGAAGTCGGTCCTCTTATTCATTTCATCGGAACGACGGGCCCAAGATTGCTTAGACTGCCAAAATCAGCAAGAGTAAGGGATGCAACGAGAAACGGACAATGGTACCTCCCGGGAGCAAGGAATGACAAGATTCAAGAGCTGCAAATTATTCTTTCAGCATCAAATCCGCTGAGGCCTGATAAGGGGCCGGATACTCCAACTTGGCGAGTCAAAGAAGGCGAGTATCAACCCACATTCACTGCCCGAAGAACCTGGGAACAAGTGCGAAATCGAGCTCCTGAGGCTACTTGGCACAAGTTAGCTTGGTTTACTGGTGCAATACCACGACACTCCTTTGTCAAAAGCTACCCACGATGGACCGTACAACTCGTTGGGGTATCCATGGACCAAATAGATGTATACTATGTTGCAAGGAGGCTGAGAACCATGCTCACTTATTCTTTATATGTGAATATAGTGCTGCGATATGGTCTTACTATGCAGGAAAACTCAAGGGGATAGAGCAACTTCTCATCTCGGATCCGGCAGACTGCATTCGGTGGTTACACCAACCGTTGCCTATGAGTACAAAAATTGGGAAGGTGATCAAGAGGCATCTCATACAACTTATTGTGTACGAGCTTTGGAAAGAACGGAATAGAAGAACTCACCGAGATAGGTACAACTCGTTACCACATATGTTGGTCAGAATCGATAGGCCCATGAGGAATATTTTGCTCTCCTTACACAAACAAGGAATGGAAGGAAACAACGAACCCATCCAACTTTGGTATCGTATTAATTAGTTATCTTCTTTTGGTTCTTTTGCCCTTTTGTCATGAGAATCTTTATTTTTGAATCGGTTTGTAAATCAGACTATGTTATATATACTACTATGAGATATGAATAGAAATACAACAAACACATTTCATCAAAAAAAAATATTCTGTGTTTTTTGTAGTAGTATGATCCAGAGACAACTACCATTTATAGATTTAACTATCTCATATTTTTAAAAACGTCCATCAAAATCATAGGAAATTACTTTTGGTATCTGCATATTAGTTCCTAACTTTACCGAAATTATGATTTTGGTGCATTTAAAAAATGATCGCATTTATACCTCATTAATATCTTAACATTACATAATCCATAATTTAAACGAAATATTCAATCATATTAAATGAGAATATTTATAAGTAAACCGGATTTAAGCGAATCGGATCATAAATAAACCGGGTTAAACGAACCAGTTTGAATACAGAAAACCGGAAAAAAAAACTGGGTTTAAGTGATCCGGTCCCGGTTTCAATATAGAAAACCGGTTTTAAGCAACTCGATCCCGGTTTGAATATAGAAAACCGGGTTTAAGCGACCCGGTCCCGATTTTCTATATTCAAACCGGGACTGGGTCGCTTAAACACGGTTTTTTTCTCAGCTTTCTATATTCAAACCGGTTCGCTTAAACCCGGTTTATTTATGACGGTTCAATTTTTCAGACATGGTTCTCGATCAATTCTCGTATTATCGATAACTAGTCATTACACTTTTTTGTATTCTAAGGTGATCTCGAATCCAGTGATCCACTGATTATCTTCTATTGTTTATATTAGCTGTAGTTTTAATTATATGATTGTGTCGCCACTAAACTCATCATATATGCTTTTGCCTATTCTTTTAGTTGAGTCTCGGTCCAAGTGTATATCGATCCGTTTTGTTTGGTTGATTATTATAAAAAGGGATAATAGCCTAAAAATATATGAACTTTTATAAATTATCATATCAATACATGAATTTTAATTTTTTTTACGAAAATACATAAACTTTGTAAATATTGTCATACACCTACAATAATATGTGTGTCGCAACATGAAATATTGTTGTTTTCATACGAAAACAGAGCACACTAAATTTGTTTTTTAATTCTCGCTACATTGTTACTATTATAATTAATTCGTATATATAAATAATACACCATAAAATTACATTGCCAAAATAGGATTTTTTTTATATGTTCAAAATGAAAAGTACTTTTTTTCCACATTGGGTCAATGATGGATTATACACGTTAAGTATAAGGCCTCACAATGTTACCGACCTTTTTACGTTCCAATAGATAGAAATGCCAAACAAGATTAATATAAATATCATAGTCATTACATTATGTATTATGGTCATATATTACTATCCGCAAATCTCTAAACCGAAATACTGTTCGGTATTCCCTTTCCGGTCATGCCACCTTCCCTTGTGTAATCCGATGTGTTTGGGTACAACAAAGTGTACGGCATCTTAACCGGACCAAGCCAATTCTTCAAGCTCTTGATGTTGTTCCTCTTAACGATGTTGTTCTCCATCTGCTCAAGCCTCTCAGTGAATCTTCTAGACATAGCCAAAACGTCATCATCAGCCGTCCAATTCGGAGATTTCCTCTGTCCCAAATAAAGCTCATCCGTTGAATGCATAGACAAAACCTCAATGATAGAGATCCCAAGTAGTGTCTGCAACTGCGGAGTGATCATCTTCAAGTATGCAACATCAGGGTCTTTCTTTAATTCTTCGTACTCTTCTGTACCAGATTCAGGCATGAACCGACGACTCGCCATTGGCCGATTAGGGAGAAAACCGGCATAAGGATACTGACCAAAGTTAATGACAACATGAAGAGCATAAGCAATCCAGATGATGATTGAGCATGTTTGGATGAGTTCGGACCGAGATTGCATTTTCGGCCACCAAGGCTCACGTTTCTTGTCACCATGGCCCACATTTCGAAGTTCAGACCACCATGATTGAAGCTCAATGTCAGTCTAGATAGTTTTGTCCGTTTTGAAGTAGTACGAGCAGTACTCAGTCATCCACGTTTCAATGGCAGACCAGATCTCTAACCCATCAACAACATAAGGGTAATCCTCGATAAAAAGTCGTACACCGCCATCGCAACTTGGATCCGGAACGGCCACTCCTCTGCAAATGCAACCCGAGAAAAAGATCGTCAGGCTATCTAGACCTAAGGAAATAAAAGTACTAAGAACAAAAAGTGTACCTTTTGAGAAGATCAGCAGGCAAAGCCTGATCGGTGAAAACCCAATTCCGGTAAAGTGAAGATGACCACTCCATGGAGTACTCTCCTGGGAACACAATCCTTTCGAGCACATCATCCGCATTTATAAAGATATGACGAGCCAAAGCATTTATTTGCATTGTGTCACGAAAATGAGGATGCAAAAGCTTATAAATCGGATGAATCACACTCAGTTACCTATTTGCTGAGATAATGAACGGTTCCATAGTAGCATGGGTGTGCAACCTGCAAAAAAATCGATCATTACAAACAATCAAAACCAAGACTTTAGGATATAGTCACGTTTCAGAACCAGATCGATTGAATATATACCAATGGCTTATAAGTTGATGATAACCAGAATCATTGATCACAACGTAAGCCTTAGCGAGCTGCCAAATCGAGCCCTCAACACCTTTCGCAGCCGGTGTAAAGATTTTGCTGATGACACCATATTTTTCGCCTTGTGGGTGAGGAAGACTCAACTCAATGGCCAAAGGCATCAGAATACCATCGTCTTTGAGGAGGAGAACGGTTCAAGTGGCATACAACTTTGCACCGGTTGAGTTCATCCTTCTCAAGTGAGGCATCAATGAGTCATGGTAATCCAAAATGTAAAGTTTGTTTTGCTTCAAAGCCTACAAGAAAATCAAAAAAATCCAGACAACCAAATTGCGGCGAAAAACACATGATTAGGGTTTCGAGTACCTCGTCGATGGTAAGACCATTCATGTTGCTCAACATCATCTTCTCGGATAGAACTATGTTGATTTCCATATACATCCGGATCCAACTTGCTTAACAACGGAAATTCCTACATTTTTTTTTATAAAATCTCAACAAAGAAAACATCGAAAAAAGAAGAACAAAGAGAACACTGATAGCTTATAGACCTAGAGATGTCTGATGACAAGTGGATTGAGCCCGGAAATCATTTCTCGACCAAACTCTTCATCAGACCTCCAAGCCGATCTACTCTCTGAAGGAATACCGAAACTATCGCATGGAGTTTTTTGTACCTTTACGCACTTTTAGACTTACGACTAAATGGGAGAAGTAAGAATATTTTGTGTTTTTCTAGTATGTATGATCGAGATATCACTAACATTTATAGATTTAACCATCTCATATTTTTTAAAACGTCCATCAAGTCATAGGAAATTACTTTTGGTATCTGCATATTAGTTCCTAAACTTTACCGAAATTATGGTTTAAGCGCATTTAGATCAATATATGCCTCATTAATAGGTTAACGTTACATAATCCATATTTTAAATCAAAAATTGAATCATATTAATTGAGAATATTTATGAAATATTATAACAGTTGATGCTTACACAACCATTGAGCAACAATGGTTACGGTACGTTTAGAACAATCAAATAAAACTACGGCAAAGAAAAAGTCAATTTTTGTGTCTACGGCTTTTTTTTGCCAATTTTTTAAAAATAAAGGTATTTTATTGTTAAATATAATAAATACATAGTTTAATATTATAACAAAAATATAGAGTTAAAATTGAGAGGAAAGAAAAGTACAGTATTTTTAATAGATTTTTTCCAAAAATAAATATTCAATATAAACCGAATATTACTATTAATTCGAATATTTGATTTTACAAACACATTAAAAATCATACGGATGTGAATTACGAACGTGAATTTCTTGGATTTTGGTGATCATACGGGTTTTATATAGACTTATTAACGTCATGCACATCGGTTTGGCATATATTCTAGGCATTTTAGGACGTTAGTTGGCTATAATTTTGGCTCTTTTCCTTCATTGCAAACTGACATTTACGGGAATTCTCACGGGACGTAGAACGAAAAGAACGCAATTTAGAGATCCGAAAAACTCAGAGAATTTAAGTGGATCGCGGGGGCTCCAAAAAATATGCTGGAACAAAACGGCCGACCTATTGCAATAAATGAGCGACTGCTTGAAATGTTGATGATGAAGCCGAATGAGCGGACGCCTAAGAGATCAAAGAAGAAGAAAAAATGAGTGACCGTCTAACTTAAATGAGTGGCGCCGGAAAATGATATTTCAGCATTTGGCCCAAAATAGAAAAGTCTGTTTGAGAGGAGAAAAAACCTAGTTTTGCTTTTCATCAAAAGGGAAAGACTTTGACATTCTCACATGCTCGGACAAGGGAGCATTGAGCGTGGAAGTTGGAGCTTGAGAAGCAAGGGAGAGTGATTTGGAGAAGAAGAAAGATCATACCCAACCATTGAAGACCATATAAACAAAAACGATAAACACATACTTGAATCTGTCATCACATTTGCACAAAATTAACTGGTTATAGTCTTCTACATCTTTACACACTTTTATACTTATAATCAAATGGGAGAAATGTAATAATATTCTGTGTTTTCCGTAGTTCGTATGATCCAGAGACAACTACCATTTATAGATTTAACTATCTCATATTTTTAAAAACGTCCATCAAAACCATAGGAAATTACTTTTGATGTCTGCATATTAGCTCTTAACTTTACCGAAATTATGATTTTGGTGCATTTTAAAAATGATGGCATTTATACTTCATTAATAGCTTAACATCACATAATCCATAATTTAAACGAAATATTGAATCATATTAAATGGGAATATTTATAAATAAACCGGATTTAAGCGAATCAGATCATAAATAAACCGGGTTTAAATGAACCGGTTTGAATACAGAAAATCGGAAAAAAATTGGTTTAAGCGACCCGGTCCCGGTTTGAATATAGAAAACCGGTTTTAAGCAACTCGATCCCGGTTTGAATATAGAAAACCGGGTTTAAGCGACCCGGTCCCGGTTCTCTATATTCAAACCGGACGAGGACGCTTAAACCCGGGTTTTTTCCTCAGTTTTCTATATTCAAACCGGTTCTCTTAAACCCGGTTGACTTATGATCCGGTTGAACTAAACTCGATTTATCTATGAACTGGGACCGGGTCTAATAGACCGGTTCCGTTTAAGTGCTACCTTCTTGTTGATTTGTCTCGACATGTCATGCGTCACGTAGGATTGGCCAACTCATTATTTTGGTCAATTAGTGGTAAGGACGCTTACGGAACTCTTACGCAAGTTTAGTAGTTACTGCGTTAAAAAATGCAAGTTCGAGAATAAATAAGCGCATCTGTATTTTTTTGGTTTTGTCCTGAAAATGAATTTTTCAGACATGGTTCTCGATCAATTCTCGTATTTTCAGTAACTAGTTATTACACATTTTTGCATTCTAAGGCGATCTCGAATCCACAGTGATCCATTGATTATCTTCTATTGTTTCTATTAGCTGTAGTTTTAGTTATATTATCGTGTCGCCATTAAACTCATCATATATGCTTTAGCCTATTCTTTTAGTTGAGTCTCGGTCCAAGTGTCTATCGATCCGTTTTGTTTGGTTGATTATTATAAAAAGGGATAATAGCCTAAAAATATATGAACTTTTATAAATTATCATATCAATACATGACTTTTAATTTTTTTTTACAAAAGTATATAAACTTTGTAAATATTATCAACACCTACAAAAGAATTGCAAAGTGTTGTATTTTTTTTATAAAAATTTCCGATTTCGTATATTCTATATGTTCAAGATGAAAAGTTCTAAACATGGACTCGCAATGTTAGGGACCTTTTTACGTTGCGATAGATAGAAATGCCAAACAAGATTAATATAAATATCATAAAGTCATTATTATTATTATTACGAAACTGAAGTCTCCGAGCAAAAAGACCCCAATTCTGTTTACATTTTGTATTATGGTCATATATTACTATCAGCAAATCTCTAAACAGAAATACTGTTCGGTATTCCCTTTCCTGTCATGCCACCTTCCCTTGTGTAATCCGATGTGTTTGGGTACAACAAAGTGTACGGCATCTTAACCGGACCAAGTCGATTCTTCATGCTCTTGATGTTGTTCCTCTTAACGATGTTGTTCTCGATCTGCTCAAGCCTCTCGGTGAATCTTGTAGACATAGCCAAAACCTCATCATCAGCCGTCCAATTCGGAGATTCCCTCTGTCCCAAATAAAGCTCATCCGTTGAATGCATAGACAAAACCTCAATGATAGAGATCCCAAGTAGTGTCTGCAACTGTGGAGTGATCGTCTTCAAGTATGCGACATCAGGGTCTTTCTTTAATTCTTCGTACTCTTCTGTACCAGATTCAGGCATGAACCGACGACTCACCGTTGGCCGATTAGGGAGAAAACCGGCATAAGGATACTGACCGAAGTTAACGGCAGCATGAAGAGCAGAAGCAATCCAGATGATGATTGAGCATGTTTGGATGAGTTCGGACCGAGATTGCATTTTCGGCCACCAAGGCTCACATTTCTTGTCACCATGGCCCACATTTCGAAGTTCAGACCACCATGATTGAAGCTCAATGTCAGTCTGGACAGTTTTGTCCGTTTTGTAATAGTACGAGCAGTACTCAGTCACCCACGTCTCAATGGCAGACCAGATCTCTAACCCATCAACAGCATAAGGGTAATCCTCGATCAAAAGTCGAACACCGCCATCGCAGCTTGGATCCAGAACGGCCACTCCTCTGCAAATGTAGCCCGAGAAAATTATCGATAGACTATCTAGACATACGGAAATAAAAGTACTAAGAATAAAAAAGTGTACCTTTTTAGAAGATCAGCAGGCAAAGCCTGATCGGTGAAAACCCAATTCCGGTAAAGTGAAGAAGACCACTCCATGGAGTACTTTCCCGGGAACACAGTCCTTTCGAGCACACCATCCGCATTTATAAGGATATGACGAGCCAAAGCATTTATTTGCATTGTGTCACGAAAATGAGGATGCAAAAGCTTATAAATCGGATGAATCACACTCAGTTGCCTATTTGCTGAGATAATGAACGGTTCCATAGTAGCATGGGTGTGCAACCTGCGTAAAAATCGATCATTACAAACAATCAAAACCAAGACTTTAGATTATAGTCACGTTTCAGAACAAGATCGATTGAATATATATACCAATGGCTGATAAGTTGATGATAACCAGAATCATTGATCGCAACGTAAGCCTTAGCGAGCTGCCAAATCGAGCCCTCAACACCTTTCGCAGCTGGTGTAAAGATTTTGCTGACGGCACCATATTTTTCGCCTTGTGGGTGAGGAAGGCTCAACTCAATGGCCAAAGGCATCAGAATACCATCGTCTTTGAGGAGGAGAACGGTTCAAGTGGCATACAACTTTGCACCGGTTGAGTTCATCCTTCTCAAGTGAGGCATCAATGAGTCATGGTAATCCAAAACGTAAAGCTTGTTCTGCTTCAAAGCCTACAAGAAAATCAAAAAAATTCCAGACAACCAAATTGCGACGACAATAACAGTGACAAAATAATGATTAGGGTTTCGAATACCTCGTCGATGGTGAGACCATTCATGTTGGGCTCAACATCATCTTCTCGGATAGAACTATGTTGATTTCCATATACATCCGGATCCAGCTTGCTCAACGGAGGAAATTCCTACATTTTTTGTTTACAAAATCTCAACAAAGAAAACATATCTAAAAAAGAAGAAGAAAGAGAACAATGATAGCTTATAAGACCTGGAGACGTCTGATGACAAGTGGATTGAGTCCGGCAATCATTTCTCGACCAAACTCTTCATCAGACCTCCAAGCCGATCTACTCTCTGAATGAATACCGAAACTATCACATGGTCACAACAGATAACGAAGAACCAACTTTCATATTTAATGATGGATTAAAACAACATATACCTTTGATGATAGTGGGCATCGGATACTTCAAGAACCGATCACCATCATTGCGTACGAGCTCTCTAAACATCTCCCATGGAAGAACATCACGAATCTTTGAGATGATGTGAGCATTAGGGTGCTTGATACCACCTTCATACAGGCTGAATATGTCGTCGAAACTATTGAACTCATTGAAGTTCTTGTCGCAGAGAGAGCCAATTTCGGGGACGATGACTTGTGCCACAGACTTGAGAGCATAGGCGATGAAGTCTGAAAACTTCACCATGTTGAACCTCTCGTCCCGAGGGACGTAGATGTCTAGGCTCAATAGCGGCAGTCTACTCTCCGACTTTGAATCTGTTCATGACAAAAAAAATCGTGAAGATATCAACGATCAATATAATGTGCTACATAACGCAAATGCATTACCTAGGGAAAATCATACAAAAATGGACAGCTATAAGAAACTGACCGGTCTTTGTGGGTTTGCGACCGGTACGACAACGACGGGGATAAGGGTATTCTAGGGAACCACCGAGGACAGGACGAGCAGAGTCTTGACCTTTGTCCGGAGATCCCAAGTCATTGAAAACATCGTAGTCATAGACTCTATCCCACTCCTTCCTCTCTCCTTTCCCATTTCCTCTCAAATTCATCAACTCTTCTTCTCTTATTTCCTTGAGCAATTCCGGCATTTCACTCG